TACAGTGTACAGAGTATGCTGAAATTATTGTTGCGTGGCTACATAAAAGTTTAAGAATATGTGATGAATTGCCGCAATTGGTCTGACTGGCGCGTGAGAGAGACAAGGGCGTGCGTGTGTGTGTGTGTGTGTGTGTGAAGGGGTTCTTTTTTTATGGGCTATACTCTCTAGCTAGCTAGACATCATATCTAGTCAAACCGCATCATGTAGGGCTGGGCGATATGGCCTAAAAATAAAATCTCTGATTTTATTTTTTTTTAATTCAATTTATGATTTTTTCCGATTTCCCCCCCTACTTAAGGAAAGCAATAAGTACAAACGACAGACTACTTAAAGCAAATTTTGCTTTTATTTAATCAAAAGCAAGACAAATGTAACCCCCATTTCTGGGATGAAGTAGCACCATTTTCTAAAGCATTAACAATATATTAAAATCTGAGGAAAACTAGACAGTGACATTTTTCATTGTGTCTAGCCCAAACAATGCAACAACATACAGGGATACATGACATGAACATGCACATCTTACTCTTAGCAGAATTAAATTTTTCAAACCAAAAACAAAAAATATTCTCTTTTATTGCACTTTGCATAGAATTTTAAATAACAACCTAAAGAGGCAACACCGTTCACTCGCAGGGCTTTAATCATATTGGTGCCGCTGTCAGTTGTCATGCAGCATAGACGATTCTCAGACAGGTTCCAGCAGTCGAGAGCGTCTCTCAGTCCCTTGGCAACAAGTTCACCGGTGTGGTCCTTGGGAAAGTATGACGTTTGGAGGGAAATAATCCGCAAATCCCACCCATTGTTAATGAAATGCACCGTTAAACTCATATAAGGTTGCATAGTCCGACTGGACCACATGTCGGTTGTTGCCGAATAAAAGGACAGCTCCCCCAGTTCTCTGCTGACTTTCTCTCGTGTAATGTTGTACAGCTTGGGCAAGGCGACTTCACTGAAGTACTTGCGGCTGGGTAGCTCATATCTGGGGTCTAACGTTTTAATCAAATTAATAAACCCCGTCTTTTCCACGGTATATATGGGTACCATGTCTTTGGCTATATGCAAAGCGACCACTTCGGTGATTGTTCTCCACCGTGCCCCTTTCCTGTCATATGCGGTGCCTTGTGCAAAGGATTCGGCTACAGTTAGCTGTTTTTCAGCTAAGGTTTCTTGGTCAGTGCGGCTTTGTTCATCGCGGAGAGACTGGCATTTTTCATATTCGGCTGGATGTCTCTGTTTCAGGTGTTGGAATAGGTTTGTGGTGCTGCTGCCTTTCACTGCGATAGGCTTTAGGCAAATGTTGCAGCGTGGTGTCTGTTGTTCCACATCTGTCGCAGCAAACCCATACCAGTTCCAAACAACAGATGACTTTATTCCTTTCTTGGGAACAAACTTCCCGCTCTCACTGGTAGCCATTTTGTCGCTTGCTGTTGCTGTTTAGTGTATGATGTTGTCGCTATGGGATACGAACACTACGGAAACCCCGGGGAGCCAAAAATGTGCTATTACACAAAAACTCGATTTACTTATTTTTTAAATCGCCCGCAACAAAAAATTCGAATTAATTCATTCAATCGATTTTTCGCCCAGGCCTAGCATCATGACATCGCTACAAATACAGTATGGGATTAAAATCAGAGAACATCAATGTATAGTCTTAGGCTACGTTACCTTGTTTCAGCGACGCTTGGTGAAACAGCATGTAGTGGATTTTTTCGGTTCAGATGCTGAATCATCGAAGTCGTACTGTTGTGGTATGCCAGGTATACTTTGCAGTAGACACATTGCACCTTGTTCTCTTCCTTTTTAAATATAAAATGATCCCAAACTTTATACATTCTCTGCCGTTTATGGACATTACTCTCCGCCATCACGCCAACTAAATTCAAATGTATCATGCGCTATGGTGTGCTTCCTGAACAACGGTCCGTGTGAAACAATCAGATCCCTGCGTGCATAGGAATTTAACGAGGATTCGAGGCAGAATTTTTGCCTTGAGGATTTTTTGTAATCGAGTTAATCGAGTAACTCGATGAATCGTTTCAGCCCTAGACCAATCACTGAATAGATTTCCTTATTTAAGAAATTCTCAAAGTTCACATAGAATGGTGAAATTCCTAAAACGAGTTTGTGTTCAACACATTTAAACAATGAAGCTTGTAATAGTTACAGTCGCTACCCAGAGAGATTAAAAGGAGAAGTACGATTTATTCACTTTCCAAAACCTAAAACAAATCTAGGAAAATGTAGGCTGTGGGTTGTTCCTAATGTAATGTTAGTTAGCTTAGGATGACGTCCCTTACCAAATTGCTGACAAATATGATCTCTGCTCTGTTCAAACAATACTGTATGATTAACTGCGTGTTGTCAAATAATTCAGAAACATTCTTCCTCTCCTGAAAGATTTGCCCATGTCTCCACAGTGCCACAAGCCCCTACTGGCTCCTAACCACTTGAGAGACTTCTTAAGCAGTCTTAAATAACTGGGAGAGTAAGAGTGAAGTGATAACTTGCTTTATACTTAAGTTTGAAAGTAAGAGTTAATTTCATGATAAGCGGTTGACGATGGATGGATGGATGGATGGATGGATAAATACCGGCCCAGGTTTCTTGCTGGTTGATAGTGGCCATTTATTTTGTCTATTTGCTGGTGATGTACTGAAGATGCTGCACTTACCTGAGGTGTCTTATTGTTGTTGTGTTGAAGTTCTGTCATAGCATGTAATCTGTGAATGTATTCTGAGAATTACAGACTTTGGTTTTGGTCCTTTAACAGCGTGTAGTGTTTGTATTACTGAGAGCTTCACTTTACAATCTGTTAGCAAGTCAGACAGACAAACACGACATGACATGTTCCTTCATTCTGAAGTCCCCACATCTATGCATTGAGCTTACAGAAAACTTTTTCTTTGATCAAATTTACCCCTGCGCTCTTGTATAAACTAAACTACGACCACACTTAAGACAAGACAGGCGGAAATTTCTGGACTGCTGCCTTCCACCATGTTTTCATTGAAGCAAAGCTAACCCACGTTAGATGCTGCTGTTAGATGTGGCTGCGTCTGGGAGACTGTTGCTAACTTTGGTTGATGCCAGACAGTAGTTACTGTGAGTTTTTCAAAGTTTGGCGATCGAACTTGGTTTTTATTGATATTAAAAACGGTAATATTAACCGTCAGGAATTTTAGTGTAGTTTTTCATTCAACCGGTAACTGCCAGTGGAATGAGAAGCCATTCTGTATATTTTTTTAGAGAGCTTAGTTTGTGGCATTTATTTTCAGATTTCCTACTCGACAGGCAAAAACTTCATAATAAGGTTAACTTAACCAAGACAACCTTTTTTACAGCAGAGTTCACAGCGCAAAGCTCAACATAGGCATGACAACAATGAAACATCCCAGTATGAACTTGGCACATGAGCAGGTAATGGCATAATAACAGACACTAGACATGGTTGATAATCTGCAGAAGCTATAAATGGTGGCCAGGCTTGGGCATTTCACGGTAAACAGGCCAAGTGACATCATCAGCAGTATCGCAAAGTTACATTTCACTATACTTAGGTATCTGGGCAATATTATGACATCAGCAGTTGTATAACAGTTGGGGTTTATGTATTGTCAGAAATAGGACAGACATTAGCATGAATCTCATGTTGTCAAATTGCCTACAGATTTGGAATTTCCTTAAAGACTGGAATAGGTGTGGGTAAACACAATTGCTTTCCCATCATCACAAATTAAAAGTGAAACTTGTTCACAGCAGGGTGCAGCCACAGGTAAACATGTTATCAAAACAATACAAGGAAACTGACTAAGATTGGAAACTATTTCTTTTTTCACTCCTTCATACCTTCCTGACATTTTACCAGGCTATACAAGCCATATATGCTTTAATGTGTGTGTGACCAAAGTTTAGAGGCTGTAGCAGGTAGTTTCAGCTGTATCAGTCTATTCATGTATTTGTTAAAATAATGTCATTTCATACACTAAAATACTTACTACTAAGACTTTCTTTGATTGACGCAAGAAATGTGAAACAGCCTATTTTACTTTCATTTTCCTTTTTTTAAGCAAACAAATACCTTTAAGTGTTTTAAACCTGCAGTGTAGGAACTTTTGCCTCCCCCTTCTGACTTTGAGAGTCATTACACTGGTGACACGTGCTTATGACATAGCATGAGTGAGTTGCTGCTGAGGCTAAGGTTGCTCCCCCTTCAGCTCTGGCAAACCAATCATTGCTGGTTGACATAAAACACATGACCAGTTCCCTTGCGCTGGAATGTCGGCACAGACACCAGATTTGAAAAACATTTATACTGCGAAAACAGAGGGATTTTCCTGGTGGTGATAGGCATAAATGGCTGATGTCCCTCTTCCTAAAAGCAGCTGATCAGCTGACTGGTTTCAGTTGTTGTGGTTTTGATATTTGAGATGGACTAAGACAAGTGAAGTGAATGCCATTTGCCTATATTCATATAATATATAAAATATGTACATTAGATCTTCATAATTGTTCTCTGTCTGTCTTTAAAAAACACTGATCTACGTATTGTATATGCATACAAATAATCCAATCTATTGTACACGCTGTTCTTTTAATATAAAAGTACAATGTAGTGTAGAAACCACAATCATAAGATAAAATGTTGGTACAACAACCAAGCAAAGTCGGCTGCTCTGCACAGTGTTGACTGTAAAGAGGGAAACCTGTAAAACTTGAACACAGCAGGGTGTTGAAATGTTCAGCCCGCACATACACCATTATGATGAAATCTTACAATAGCACGCTACAGAAAATAAGTCAACAGTTGCAGCAGGGATATTGATAAAACCTGACTATAGCAAAAACAGTTTCTATCGACTGAATTTATTTAAAATACACTTCTGTTACGTCATGTAAACAAACCACGTACTTATCAGCTGTATGCTCGTGATCAGACTGGAGAAGTAACCACTCGAGGAAAAGATGGGTGAGCACTTGTCTTCCTATGTTTTTACTTTTAAACAGGCAACACACGTTTGATTTTGTGATATTAAGACATTTATTTCCTGGAAATGACTTAACATAGCCAACAGCAATCATTTCTATTATTTAAGTAGTTTCTTTTCAGAAACTTCCAGCTCCCTGACGATCTCTTGGCCAGCTGCCACCACTACATAACTACATAACTGTACACCACTACACCCAGTGCTTGAAGTGGGGAGATACGCACCGGTACACAGTACTGGCACCTCGACCTTTTTCTCTTTGGCGTACCGGGACTTTTTCTCGCGGGACTTCTCCCAAGCTGCTGGTACATGCAATGCAACTGAAATATAGAAGAAACAAATGTGCATTGTCCAAAAGCTGATTACTGAATTATTATAATTACTGGCACCTATTTTTTTCCTCTTCAAGCACTGACTACATCCATTACATAACTCTTCATTTGAACATCATGCATTAACCTTTTTGGTGTCTAAGTCTATGTGGGGGAAACACTGGTTATTTTTCATGTACAAACTACGGTCAATCAGTTTAAATGTTTAATTGTGATTCTTCTCATGATTGTCAATGGTTAACTCGTGATTAGTCAAAATTTTTTTATCCATTCCAAATGTAAAGTTTTTAATACTCTTATAATGATGTATGTTTTTATGTTTCTGCATGTATTTAAAGAGGTGGTATTATGCTAATTCTCAGGTTCAAAATCTTATTTAGGTGCTAAAATAAAAAACAGCTAAAATAAAGTGTGACACTGGATGTTTACTTACATTTCATGAATGCAGTTATTAATATAAATGAGAAAATATACATTCTTTGTAAAAATAAACAAATATGTATATCCTCTATTAAAATTAATTTCACTAACTAAGTTATAGAAAGTTTATGCTATAGTGCATTGGAATTTTTACAGAATATCATATTGTTACTTATTTTTATTTTTATGTCAGACATTTGTTGAATAAAGTCATGGTATCTGAACAACTGGATGCAGGCCAACTGTTAACCAATTGAATACGAAAAACATTCTACTTCACTTAATATTTTAAATCGTCAAAACAAAAGCTTACAGTTTAGCAGCTGAAACTGTCGCTGATAGAAATGAAAGAAACCTCTCATAAAATGGAACACGCCTTTGTTGCTTTTTTCACATATTCCTGTATCCAGTTATGTATTTCCTCCTCATGCATTTTCTTTAACTCATTGATATTTTTGTTCAGATCTTCTTCGCTGTAGAAACTCAGTGTCGATTTCAGTTCATTCATTTCATCTTCTTGTTTTTTCTTCAGTTTATTAAAGTCCTTCTGGAATACTTTGTTTTTGGTCAGCTGTTTTATCATCAAGTCATTTTGGTATTTTTGCCTCTGCTTCAGATCCTCTATTTCCTTTCCATACTTTTCCATCTCAGCTGAAATGTCGCTGATATATGTGTGTCTGAATTCATTGCATTCTTCAGCTTGTTTTCTGGCCTCCTCTTCATTTTTCCTCCTTATTTCCTCTAGTTTTTTCTTATGGTTTTCTTCTTCTTCTTTCCATTCTCTTTCCACTTGTTCTCTTCTGATTTGAGCTTCTTCTTTTCTTTTGTTTTCATACCTTTCGAATTCCTGCTCATATTCGTCTCTGAGCTTTTTAAGTCGTGTTTGCTCCTCCTCTTGTTTCTGCTTATCTTCGAGATATCGTTTCTTCCACCACTCCCTTCTCTCCTGCTCCCAAGCCTCTCGTTCTTTTTTCATGTTTTCTCTACACTGCATTAATGTCATCCGCTCAGCAACTGAGGGTTCTGATCCATTTTTCAGTCTTTTCTCCAGATTTTCAAGTTTTTGTTTCCACTCGTAGCCTTGGAATTCCTCCTGCCTTTTCTTGTTCCTTTCCTCTTCTTCTCTCTTTTCTCTTTCTCTTCTCCTCTTCTCCTGCTCCTTTCTCATTAGTTCCTCCTTTTCTTTGATTAGTGAATTTCTCTTTTCTTGATCAGATAGTAGCTTTGTCAATATTTTTTTCTTCTCTTGCACTACTTCTTGGTGTTTTCTTTCAAGGTCCCACTGCTTCCTCTGTATCTCGGGTTCCTTCTCCTTCATGATCTTCTCCTTTTCCTTTTGTATGGCTTCCTCAGCTTCTTGGAACAAGTCTGAAGTGTAGTAGCCACCGCCATTTTTGCTTACCATTGACTCAACCATCTTCAGCAGCCCGCTGACTTGAGAACTATTCTTCTGATCATTGTTATTGAAGACGTGGTATCTTCCTCCACATTCAGTTGTCAGTTTTTTGAGGAAGTCCTCACTGTCTTCTTCTATGTAGTTCTCAATTGTTTGTTCTTTAAGATCATCTCCTCTGGTAAATATAACAATGATGAAGTCCTCTGACTTCTTGCCAAAAAACTTCTTGATAAGCTCCACAGCATCTTTCTCTTCTCGTGTAAAGCGGCCGATCTGCAGCACTACTAAGAACACATGAGGTCCGGGAGACAACAAGCTGATGCATTTCATAAGCTCCTTTTGAACTTCGTCGTTGGACAGTGTTGTGTCGAACAAGCCGGGGGTGTCGACCACAGCAACGGGCCGTCCATCAATCTCTCCCTCTTCTTTTTGGCATTCTGTGGTCACTGACGTCGCGCAGACTTTAGATTTGAAGCATTCTTTGCCCAGAATGGTGTTTCCAGTGGCACTCTTTCCACAACCAGTCTTCCCAATCATCACCATCCTTAGACACTCTCTACTCTGCACTATCCCGTGAGACTTTTGCCTCTGGACCACCCTGGGAGGCTCTCTGCTCTTCCCCATTCCGGGAGACTCTCTATTCGGCACCACCCTGAGAAACGGTTTGTTCTGATGTTTATTACCTTCCTCCTTAAAAGTTGCATGTCTTCTAAGCCCAGTCGCTGGAGTATTGGGAAACATGTCTTTTGTGAAGCCTCTGCATCCCACAACTCCCATATTTTCCACAGTATGTAACACCTCAGAGACCTTCTGCTTGTCCTTGATGTTTAAAACAACATATCGTCCACTACAGCTTTGAAAGAGCTGCTGGATGTCTCCGTTTTCCAGTAGAAACCTCTCTACAGGTGGAAAGTTAGGATTTGCCCCTGTTGTAAAAAGAATCATAGTGAAATCATTGACTTTAGTGCTGAAAGTTTTTTGGATGGTCTGTAACTCTTTTTTGTCTTCCTCACTTGGGGGATCTAATGGTAGGACCAGGACAAAGGCATTGACGCCCTCGGGTTCACAGAGGGAGATACATCTGAGTGATTCCTTCTTTGCTGCCTCCTGAGGTTTTTCATACAAGGCAGGCAGTTTCACTACAGAAACCAGATGTCCACACACCTCTGCCTGCTTTTTAACACACTCTGATGAGTCAGCAGGTGGACCAAACTTTCTTTCTCCCAGAATGGCATTAGCTGCTGAGGTCTTCAACGTTCCATGTCTCCCACACAATACCAGGTTTAGAGGGGGTTTTGCACACACATCAGGTGCTACCATGACGTCAGTCTCATCAGTAAAGGTTAGATATCGTCCCCTGTTTTCACTCACTATGTTATGCATTTTTCCCATCAGTTCTTGAGGATCAGAGTTAGAGGAATCCTTTTCATCCAAGTGGATTCTGTGCTGCTTTTGTGTGCAGTCTTGGATGAGTTGGTGCACTGAGGAATTCCCTCCCCTGTCATTTTGTGTTATGATGACTATTGAGGATTTAATAGCATCTTGTCCAAAAAAACTCAGGATGAATTTAAATTTTCGTCTGTCCTCCTCAGTGAAATCAGCAGGATTCACTAACAGCAGCAGAACATTTGGTCCAGGGGGGCAATGAGCCACACACTTCTTCATCTCGTGTCTCACTTTATCCATAGGCAAACTAAAGATGTCTTTTGTTTTCACTAGTGTGAAGGGTTTATTCCTCCACTCTCCGAAGGTATGCGCATATTGCTTGGACAATTTTGGATCTTTTTTTCCAGTGATGAGGTAACTTAGTGATGTCTTTTCATTTTGACTTTTACCGAACATCACAATCCTGAGATCATATGCTGTAAAACGATAAGAACAAAAGCATTCACATTATTCCACGAGGGAATCATCGTTATTCTCTTTTCATTAATGTCTTAGAAGTTTAGAGACTGGTCCAACACTATGACAAATACCATGATAGAGTGAACAACGACACAGAAAGTAATGTTAGTTAGGTTGTGGATTAGCAAACTGACGCTACTTGCTTGCTGCAAAGCTCACACGAGAGGACAAGACGGTCTCAGAGCAGCACAGCAGCTCCAGACATCGACACTCACAGCTCTCCTGCTGCTATAGCTAACATCACAACAACAGCATGTCTTGGTAAACTATAAAGTAAGCTGTATGTCCGTGGGCAAGTCAATGTTACCTGAGTGACACACACATCATGGCTGGCACTGCTGGATAGTGTTGTGTGGCCCGTCCATTATTTTCAATGCAATTTCTTCTCTGCAACACCGGCACGTGTGGAAGAACTGACCGCGGTGAAGTTAGTTTCAGGTTGGATATTTATTTTACATTAGACATTCGATAATGTCCAATTCCAACATAATGACTGAATCGCAGTGCAAAGTGCCGTTCCCTCACAAAAATAGTACGGTAAAGTGTGGAATTTGCGACACAACGATATTAAACGATAGATATCGTCAGATTGAACAGCCCTAATCGGGTATCTCTATAAAATACTTGTGCTTTTTAGAGAGCTGATCCTATAGACGCTTTCAACGGTAACAACATAAACAAACGGTACTGCGCATGTGCATTACACTGGCCCAAACTTAACTTCCAGCAGACTTTTGCAAGCAGTCCATAACAAGTAAATAACCTTAGTTGCCAGTTGAAGAAAAGGAACGTTTCTTGGCCAAACTGAAATGTGATAAGGTCACACTACCAGACCCATTGAACAAAAATTTGAGACAAGAATGTTTTTCTACCGACCTGTCTGATTTACAGCAGTACCACAGAATGACAGCGTAACTGTGGCGAGCGCAGTAGAGGGGGGGGATCTCCGACATTGACGTTAGACGGATTTGTGCGGCGGTGTTCATGATACTAACCATTCTATACACAGATTGGTCCGCTTTCAGTGTGTTTGCAGGAGAGAGAGAGGGAGAGGGAGCGAGTGAGAGGAGTTGCTGAGCGAATATGCGCTGAGTGCAGCTCTGCAATCAAATACAATTTTTCCCATCTTAAATAGTAAAAAAAACAACGGAAATCAATATGTGGCAGTCAGCGCTGATAATGTGGTGGGCCGCCACAAACAAATGAATGTATGGGAAACACTGTACTGGATATCACTCACCATATTAGCCAGTAAACACAAACCCAGTAATAAACAAACAGAACGAAAAGTTAACTTTGGGCCGTGCGCATCACCTTGGCAACGCGTCCGATGAAAGCGTCTATTGCTGAGTTTGCTGGTACAGGACTATTTACGAATAATTTTACTACACTGTCCAATTTCTTCAGATGTCCTTTCTCAGAAGGCTTTAATTGTTGTTTGGGCAAACCTAAAAGACTCATAGCCAAGGTTAGCAACAAATGCTTCTCTTTTCTGAAAAGTTGAATTTCATTCTCAACTTTTAGAAACACTTCTACCAGCAAAACCATTTGCCATCAGAATAAAGAAAAAGAAAAGAAACGTGTTTAAATTCTACACATCGTACCATTTAAGGTTGTCAACTTTCCATTCTCTCAGCCTGCAAATGTCTTATGTTAGGTATACTACACTGCCTTCATTCCTCTTTGTTGTATGACCCCATTTCTGTTCTTGCAGTGCATTTCATTTAAGTCATTGTCCTCACAGATAGGCCATGTCTATGACATGAAGTCTTACTCAACTTACCAGCTGCTGTTGTCGCCATCTTGTGTTAGAGAAATTCCACTTTAGTACCAGAAGTTGGTGCCTGTTGGGTTTAGGGTAAATAAAGTAAATAAATACCAAAATTCACTGTACAGAACTGTACTTTCTAGAAACAATGTCCTGGCTTCTCTGAATAACCTGTGGACCATGTTCAGTCAGAGATGCTCAAGTCTTTGAGCTAGAGTCCAAGTCAAGTCTCAAGTCTCTTGTGGTTATAATGAATGTTGTATCACCTGCTGCATTCAATCTAAGCTGCTTATAAAACTGCATAGCTATAAGGAATTCTGTAACTGTAACCTGTTTTTCATTTGCAGAGCACAACCATGTAGCCTAATGTGCAATATGTCTACAACCAATGACAGCTTATAAACTACTGTAAGTCAACACATCCCCCAGACTCCCAAACCCAGTGTAATGTTAACTAAATAAAACTGTAACATTGCATGATCAACAATAAACCTGTAACCTGTTTGCAGCCGACATTAATAATTAACGTGATGGCAGCCAGCAGGACATAAATAATTACATTAATCGACCACCACAAGTTTGGCAAGTAAACAAACGCTCATTCATCTTTTCATAACGGACGACAGTCGGAGTAAACCTCCCGTAGGTCGGAGATAAAGCAAGAAGCAAGCTAACGTTAGATGACCATTGCTGAGCTAAACATCTTTACTAACCTATTTTGCATTCAGTGCTTCGGTGTTTGGGTCTTGTTGTAAGAAGTTTTAAAGCGAAAGTTTATGATGAATGGCGGAGCAGCTGCAGGTGTTTGTTTGTCCTCTCTCACGTGCAGCCGCGCGCAGCAGATGCTACGTGTTACTTAGGAAGGTTATAGGTAACGGAGGGAGGGAATAACAGAAAGACATTTCCTAAAAATAAACATTGTTCACGAGTCCTGCACCTCGAGTCCGAGTCAAGCCAGAAGTCTCAAGTTGAGTCTGAAGTCACTGTGTGAGCGACTTAAGTCGGACTCGAGTTTGAGTCTCTAACTCGAGTCCCAATCTCTGTGTTCAGTACTAACGGGATAAGCAACCCTGTTGCAGTACAGACTCAAAGATTGGCTCAATAACGAAGTCAGTACAGCTTATCATGTTGTAGTGAATAATGTTGTATTTTTACCCTTAATTATGTATATTAGGCATTTAACCAAACATGTTGCTGGACGAGTTTTAAAATTATAACCACACAAGCATCTAAATATACAGACTGCTATGAAGAGACTTGGTAAGCTTTCCAATAAAAATAATTATTAGAATGCTTGCCAAATATGTAAGATACATTCATAGTGGTCTGTATCATATTAGATATGGAAATTAAGATTGTGTACTATTTTAGTAGCCAAAAGTAACTATAAAAATACATGAAAAAATTCTGAGACGTATAGCCTGTAATACACAGTTGAATGTTAGTTAGAATGTCAGTTAAGTGGCTTCAGTTTAACACACCTGAATATATTACCAATAAAGAAAAGTGGCTTAAATATATCAAACATTCTGAATGAATATAACTTAACAAAATGTACTTAATTATTTTTTTTCACTTATGGTACAGGCATAAATAACTTTGTTTCAATAAACATTAAAATAATTTCAGCTCTGTGATAAACAGTACAATTTTGCAGAAATAAAACAATCTTTCTTGCTGGTTATTGTTTTTTTCACTATTTCCTCTTCAGGTCATCAAAAAAGCTTCACTTACCTGAGTATGTTATATATTTTATTACTTTGTCATCGTATTTTTCTTGTAGTCACATATGTCACCAGGCCTGAACATTGCACACCTGTGAATTATCAAACTGATTAGTGAATTTGATCTGTCACATTTAGGTTGTAGGCTACATATATATTCTGTATGTTTTTATACTTGTCATTGGTAAATTGTTGCATTTATTATGTGTTTAATCTACTCACCATATAAGGTTGTTACGGTGTTTCTTTCTCAGTGCGCATAAATCAGGTCCCAGTTAGAGTCAAGTCATCCAAGGCAATGATCCAAAGATCTTTTTTGTAAGCAGTCAATTATGACAACAGTGAGTGGGCAGGGCCAATGCAACGATGCAATTCTTGTCTCAGCACAAGTATGACAAGACAGCCCTGCCTGTGTTTGGGTGACTAATAAACAGCTGATGACTTTACATGTTTTAGGTTGAGTTGAATCTAGTTATAGATGGCTCATTAGATCTGCTACCTTTCACACGGCTAGTATGTTGAAGAGTCTGGGGTTAACTGAGGTGGCACGCCTCCAAAGCAAAGTCAAATTTCTACATGTCCAGCTGGTTGTAAGACTCATATCGAAACAGACCTATTACCTTAAACTTGAGGACCTATAAGGAACAAAAACCCAACCTGGAATTTGGAATTTCCATGAAGACGAGAACAGGTGTGTGGTTTCTTGTCAGCGCTCAGAAAAACTGGTGAAACTTGTCCTTACCAGGATAGAGCCACAAGCAAGTTATCAAAACAGTATCCTGTTTCCTTTATGGAAGTGTACACATGTGAATGTTAATGACCAACAGCTGATTTAATCTAGCAAAGTTATGACGTTAGTTCACCTCCCTGTTGATGGTCAAAGACTCCACGTGAAAATGGGCGCTGATTTGGGCCAGACCACAGAGAAGTTATGGACTGGCTTTGTGACACTTTTTCAATATTTTTACTCATGTAGACACATTAGTACACCTTGTAAGGTATTTGGGTTGTTTGATTTATTACTTCACACTGTTCGGGCATATGTTATTATTTAAAAGCTGTTTATAAAGATATTTTTGCTTTGTATGAAAACAGAAGAAAGATCAGAGAGCTGACAATACTGCGTCCCACTGATCTGCCAGACGAACGATTTTAAAGTCTGCTGTAAGGCAGCAGGGGTCTTTATTTTTCATACCTGAGAGCCCGTTGGATGTGTTTGATTTATAACACAGCCCCGCCTGAATGTAGCAGCGTGTATGTATTAAACCCATACATTTGTTTTAAATACATACAAGCCGCTGCATGTTTGTGGACCTCTCTCTCTTTTTATCCTGGGAGGTCATTGGGTATGTTTGATTTACAGCCTGTTCCCTCCTGGCTGTGTTTTCACATGGGTCCAGCAACACCCAACCCCCCCCATGGAAAGAATTAATAAAACATACACACTCAAACATACATTTTCAAGCTCTGGTCAACCTTTCTGGCTGAAACCAGCTGCTCTCCTCAAACATTTCTGATCTTTATCAGTATGTTCACTCGCTCTTATTACCATAGAAAATGCACAATTTGCCAAAATGCCAAAAATATCACTGCATAAACAGTATGGTAAAGATTTTCATCAAACTTTAATACTAAATACTACTTTTATCGGTGATAATGAGTTACTTCACACCATGTTTGACTTGGATTGTATGCACTGCAACTTTGTTGGAAAGGGGTAATACAGAATACACCTAAAAACCACTCAAACACGAGTAGATTTGTTGTTATAGCACAGGGAAGTGGGAATTACTGTGAATGTGATGTCTGAATGCAGTGTCAGCACCGTTCATGTTTTCATGATTGTTCTCTCTTCTTTTGGGTTTTAATGGTTACCGTCTTTTTTAAAAAGGTCTGGTTGCCCTCCTTTTGTCGGAGATGCAAATTATGTGACTACTGACAGTAATAGACTCAGGGCTCAAGACTAATTTGTAAAAGTGAGTCAGGCATCACCTATTGGTAGCAAAAACTGAAATTTATTTTGTTTATTTATTTTTATTTATTTTAGGCTTATTTAACAGGGACAGTGCACACTAATGACACATGAATAAATGTATAATGTGCTGTCCCTGGACAGATTGTAATATGTCACACCTAAAAGAATAAAAGGATTAAAATAGTACATACAGCTTAATACAAGAAATGTAAAATGTATAAAGAAATTACTAAACCAAAACAAGAACAGTTGGTCAATATCAACATCAACACACACAAGCCAAACTGTCAGTCCGTAAAACAAACATGATTACAGTAAGTGAACAAAATTCTTTGTAGTTTGTGCTGATACTTCACAGAGTTTGAATCTTAAGTATTATCAGTTAACATGTACACCCCCAATTCCAGGTTTACAAAATACCAGTAGTGCAGCTGTTCTCATGTTCTTCACTGGTCTCTTAAAAAATGAATCCATCGAGTGGTTGCTTTCGTCCGTTCTCTCCCTTTCAAATTTTGGTTTTCTGGACATTTGTGCTGATTCCCATCACAGATCCATTGGCCCTTCAGCATTGAAGTCTTGGATTGTGAGTCCCTCAAGTGACACCAACATCAGCTTGTCCATCACATCTGCTTTCAGAGATAACCTCCAGTCTGTCTCATATAGCATCAGAATGTGAGCAAACCACATCCTGAGACTTCACAAATGTCGTTTTAGTTTTTCGTTTAGGTTCATCTGGTTCTGTGTCAGTTTCGATCATTTGTGATGTTGACCAGTTAATGGAACTTTTCACCCCGCAGTCAAACAACTTAATTTGCTTTGCCATTGTCTCCACACATGCAGTGTTGTCTAGTTCCGGATCAGACTGTAACACAAATATTTAAATATCACCAATGCAGCAAAAATTAAATTAAAAAGTGGTTGCCACTGATGGCCAATTTTTATGCCAATTTTTCTAAATGGTTGCCTAAGGCAACCTGGCAACTGTTACTGTTGAGCCCTACATACATACATAGTAAAATTACAATGACTCAGCACCCTCCAACATCCTCAACAAAAAACAAGCTTTATGAGACCGGGACTCTAATGGACTGAGAGCTGTTTCTGTTTTTCTACCACCTTTAGGTGACTGCTGATGAATATTCTCCTCCAGATGGGCATATATAGCATCCCTCTTCCCCTCAGTCTAGCTGCATTTCTCTACTTTTGTCTTTCACTTTCAGTCTTTATTTCTTTTCAGTCTTTCATTTCCTCCCTCTTGGTATTTTCGCTTGGTGTGTCTTCACTTTATTATATAAGCATCATGTCACACATGTCTCCTCCTCTTTCTCCTCCTCCCTCTTTGGCTTGTCTTTTTGTCTTCTTTAATACTTCTGTCTATTTGTCTTTTTCTCCTTTAGTTATTTATCCTCCTCAAATTCTCTTTCTCAATGTTTATTCTCCTTCCCTTCCCTTGAGAGTCACTTTAACAGAAAAATAAATTAGTCTAAATTGTGACTGTGATGGATTATCTAGCTGCAGAAAGTCTTTCATAGAAATCAAATGGTACCAGTGTCTGCCTTGAAGGAAGGAAATCAATCTACAAATAATTGGCTGATTTAGAAAATGCCCAGCAGTAATGTATAATCAACATGGTTTTTAGGTAATGGGCTAAAATGTTAAAAACCACCAGTATGGTTGTTTGTGTTGGTGCATTTCTTGACTGAGCAGGTTTGGATTTGATGTTGTAGTCAGGTCTGCGGCATATTTTAACAGTGTGATGGTTAAATGGGGCTTTTAAATGCATCAAGAGGCTTTTTAGTGAAATCAAGTCAAACTTCATTAGTTGAATGTTTCTCATATGAGGAATCTCAATGTGCTTTGAATTATTTGGCCATTAAAAGCAGTTATGGTTTAGATCAAATATCATTTCTTTTCACTTCAAGTGTTTTTCTCAAGCTGTTTGCAAAGAGTAATTCGTTTTCTGGCTCGAAGGCACTTTGGCAGGAGAGCATGTGAGTCGTGTGGGAGTTGAACCTATGACCTCTCACTGATCCTGTCTGACACTCTGCCCCTCTCCCTGGTGGAAGAAAAAAACGTGTGGGAAATAGTTTTAAAATAGTTTGGGCTATGAAAATGTGGTTTTGAACAAGGAGTTTGCTCATGTTAAGAGAATGATGTTTTTGGGTGGACGAGGTGTTGTTTTAGCGCTGGTGTGGCCCAGGAACCATCAACTCAGTGGCTGCGTGTTTAAACAACATCGTGGTCATTAGTTTGTCTGAAGTGGGTGAAATACACCAGATATTTCCCATAAATCATTTGGGTTTGGTCAGATGTGAAATCAAGCTGTTATCACATGTAAGGCATTTCCAAAATCTGATCTGGACAGAGTCACTGACACCTCACACGCAACCAACACACAAATACAACAAAATGTTGCACTACATAGACAAAGAATAAGAGTGACTCCTGTACAGTGCACTTTTTTTGTTTGTTTAGCTGCTCTTTAAAAAAATTTTTTTAATTTTTTGAATTCTTAAGCATGAGTTCATGCTACGCTTTGATTTTCCATCATATCCATAACAGAATAACTATAATACAAATACTAACTTATTTGTGTGGCACTTTTCAAATGAAATGTGTATGTGTTTTATTTCAGGTCCTGCATCTTCTACAGAGCGTGTATGGATATCCCCAGAGGAACAGAGCTGCTGGTTTGGTACAATGACTCCTACACTTCCTTCTTTGGCATCCCGCTGCAGTGCATCGCTCAGGACGAAAACTGTGAGAACACTCCTGACCTTTCTGTCTTTTCTACTTACTTGTCTTTATTATTTTCTTTTGTCTTATAGAAAAATAATCCTTGATTGTTGGGACTCACTGAAACAACAGCTAGACGTTTACTGTTGCAACATTACGTTGTCTCTGTTCTAAAACTTTATCAGGCCACAAGTTTGATACCCAGAACTGCTGTATGGTACATCTGGCTGAAGTGTCCTTGAGCAAGAAATTTAAACATTTACACTTGCTGACTAGTTAGGAAAAAGTGCCCAAAGTGTCAGAAAGGCCATCCTCTAACTAGAAGGTGACGGGTTCAGGTTCCCTTAGCTGCCTCACGATCAGGATCATCAAGATAACAAAGCTCAGCTTAATGCTCCAAACATCCAAACATAAGCCAAACCCCTCGGCTCCGCGTTCAGTCTGTCTGCAGGAAAAAAATGGAGTTTTCTTTGGAAGTAGCTCTTACTTTCTTACCAACAGAGTTTAAACTCTTAGACTAGAGGAAAGCTTTTGGCCCGCCACAAAAACAACACTGAACACAGGTTTTTAAAATTTTTTTATTATTATTATTTTTTTTGCTGCTGTCTGATTTATTTGTCTGACCAACGGATCCAGTCAAAACAAGACTGGAAGAAGTATTTTATTTGTTCAAATGTGGGCACTCTGTGGCCTTGTGTCGGCCCGCTGCACCTCTTCTCTGTCATGGAGCAAGAATGATAAGACGAGTTTTTCCTTAACTTGCTGAAGCTTTCGGTTTAGGTCTTTTGTACTTTTTTGGGTGTTTCTTCTAGTTTTCTGTCTTGTTTTAGTAAAGAAAATACTGTGGCAGGAGGTCCTTAAAATATATTAATTAGATTTTACGCCCATGAGGTCTTAAGAGCTTTAAAAATGTGGTCTTAATTTCAACATAAACATTTAATGTTATTCTTTTTTACTTTTTGCCAGAATTTGCAGCTAAATGCTTTATAACCTGTAAAACATGCATAAGGCATAACATTCAGTAGTATATAGTATAGAATACTTAAATGTCTTTATATTTGTTTGTAAAACAGTCTGCGGTTACAAAGCCCCTCCTCCACCGGTAAGCATGACTCATATTTGGTTCTTTGGTAAAAGTACGCTTTAACAGTTTTGTGATTTCAGCTGGTTGAATGTTTTTGGGATGGTACTGGGATGTGACATTCATGTCCTCAAAACACAGTTGTCATTACCAAACATGGAATATAGTGTGTGAAGTTTCTGTTGTTCTTGTTTGTCTCTGTTAATCACAGCGTCTTTTCTTCTTTCTTCTTCTCTTTCTTTCCTCCTCCACCTCACTTTGTGTCCTCTTTCCTTTTTCCTCCCTCGGTCTCTCTTCTGTCCTCTCTGTTTCTCTGTCACTAATTTATTTTTGTTTACATCTCCAGTTGTCTGCTCAGTCAGCCTGTTTGTATCTTTTCCATTCGAACAGTTTTTCTGTGGAGCAAAAAAAAAAAAAAAAACACAAAACATGAAGAGGGAGTTTTAATCTGTGGGATCTAAATTGAAACGAATTGAATTAGGAGCTCATCTTTCACAGAGTCGCAGTTTAATGAGATCGTGCTGATTGCAAATTAGAGACGTTTGGCCACAAGCTGGTTTGTTTTACAGATGGAACGACTCTTTTACATGACATCGTTCATCATGACAGGACTGTGGCAGCCTCTGCACACACACACACACACACACACACACACACACACTCACATTTGTATTACTGTGTTTATAAGACTTGGTTCGACAGTACATTACTTACAAAACCTTTTTCTCTAATTTCACTGCATTAGCCGTGTGGCTGAAGTGATCGTCATGCCTGTTGACTGGCACAACATGTTAGCCTGAATCTAGTGCAGACGTTCATGGTCCTCAGAGGATGAGTCATAATGGTGATCTTCTGACTTTTCATCTAGTGCGACTAGCAGGACAACATCTCCACTTGTTAAGCCCTTTAGTTTACGTCTGTTAAAGTAATCACTTAATTCCCGTCTCCTCAGCTGTACCAATTGTCTTTGGTAAGTTTTCTGTGACAGCCGGTTGTTATTATCAGTGTTTTATATTACATGGCATGCAGATTAAAGCTAATATGTGGAGGCTTTCTGTGTAGCTGTGCACATTTAATTTCATCTTCAATGAAGGGATGATTTATTACAAGACTGCTGTATTAGATTGCATTAGTTTAGCTAGGTATATCTACTAACTGGCAACTGAGTGTAGATTGAAATAGATGAAACCCTCTTTAATGTGGTAATACATATGCTAAAATAATGGCTAACATAAGTCGTATGCTTCAACTGACAAACACTAAATGAAAAAGAATTAAAACCAAACTGTTTTCAGTTTTAGATTATTTAAACTGTCTTCATCCATGTGAAGATATTTGATCTTCAAAAGTACAGAGCACACATTCGCACACACAGATACGTTGTGTACCAACACACACTCTGGCAAAGGGCAAACACAGACTGGAAGATTTTCAGTTTCACCCGGCAGTGAAAAAAGTTTGTTCACATCCAAATAAAGTGAAATTAGATTACAGAAAGACAGCAGCTCTGCTCTAAATTAAAGACATTTTGCTACTAACTGCATTTGGGTTTTCCATGGAATTGTTATCTGCTGATTGTGCCCACAAAGAAGGAGCGTGACGTCAAAACTCTGCACTGGACTGTGACTTTGTGTCGTCTGTGAAACAGACATTTAGAGTTTTGACCTTTTATTAGTGCAGAGAGCGTCAACTGAGCACATTCAGACTGGAAACCGGACAGTACAGCCGCGGTTTCCTGTAGCTCTCTCTTTATCGTCTGTATTTGCTGCTGCAATGTGCCAATCTGTCAGTGAAGGAAATGTAAGCTGTCAGAACCACAACGTGTGTCTGTCAATGAATCTAGCAAATCCCAAACCTGATGCATGAAAATAAAAATGTTTTGTGACTTTGTTTCTAGTTTCACACAATGGGTTTATGTTTTCAATGTATTAAACAATCCTGCAGTGGAGTGACATATATTTAAATTTAAAATACGGTACAATATATTAGGTTGCATTTCAGGGTAAATCATGTGCTGTTGGTCTCCATGTAGTTCCATTGGACCAGTCTGGGGTTCAGTGTCCTGCCAAACAGCACTCAGAGAGCAGAAACAGACAGTTTGTAATCCTCGTAAATTCAGAGATTTGAACAAGCAACCACACAATCATAAATCAGAAGCCAAAAGAGAAAGAAATGGAGAAACTGGTTTGTTAAAATTATTCAGCCCCAGTAAAAATTATAATGCACCAGGCAATTGTTTTGAGCAGCACAGATGATTAACATCCTGCTCACGAAGTCAAAATCAAACCTTAAACCACCAAGTAAAATGCAAAGGCAACTTTGGGACAAAAAAGTCAGGGATGACCGTACTCTATCTGAACAACTGCAACATTTAATGTTGAACTCTGTTCTTAGCTCTGACCACTGGACCACTGATATTCTATTGATCTAATCAGGTCGGCTGAGTCAGTGAACTCTTCTAAGTCCCTTCTTAAAACGTACTTTTATAGGACAGCCTTTCCTGATTTTAGTTGATTTTATTTTGTTCTATTTTATATTTAATTTTAACATGTATTTTAGTCTCTTAAGTGTTTATATTATATCCAAACTGTAAAATTTAGTTGCAGACCAGAGTCTGGTTTTAAGAAACATTAATTATTTGAAAAAAAAAAAAAAAAACAGAAATCATGTGAATGAAGCCTTCATGTTCAAGCTATAGTCAAGATCATTTTTTAAAAACAGAAACAAATAGTCGTAATTAAGAACAATTCACATAATGCAGCTATAAATTTAACAAAAAGCAATGCATAGAAGAAACTCTAGTACACCAGATGATAACAGGGAGGCAGAGAAAATGCTTCTGTTTCATTTGTTCTGTTAAACTAAGGAAACTAAGGAAGTTAATTCAAAGATGAATTAAGAAAATTAAGAGAAGATATAGAAGAATAAACAGATACTTAATTGAATTTAAGCATAACTTTATTAAGTTAGCAACAAAATCACCACCAAACACCATTAGAAACAAACATAGCATTAAACACACCCGCGCACGCACACACACAGACTTTAAAGATGAACAGAGAACACGTTAGAGCCAAACCACACACCGCTAGACAACAAAGAAAACACACAGACCCTCAACACACTATCAAAGCACACACCCTGTGGTTGTTTACTCATCCACGTTCCAACCAATCACAGCCTGTCGGCTTGACGCTCCGCAGCCCGGCCGCCGCCTAACAACATCAACATGTTCACCGACAGAAAAGGAAAAATGACTTCAGGGGGACTCCTCTTCTTCTCTTCTTTTTCTTTTATCTTCACCATAACACATTTTTTCTCTCCTTTCTCCTAACTACTTGTTCTCCGACATGTAGCAGCAGCAGTAATGTGGAGATGAGTTGTGCTTTCACGGGAACATAAGATAAGACGAGAAGCAGAGGAAGAGAACAAAAGGATGCGAGAACACTTTGAGTGAGCGAGAAGGGAGGGCAGGAGAGAAGAAAAGAAAAGAGGGAACAAGACAGGACAAGTGAAGGAAAGGAGAGGAGAAAAGAGGGAAGAGGAAAAGTAGATTTGGAGGAGGAGAAAAAAGAGACAAGAGCAGACTCAATAAGTTTGAAGGAGGGATGAAGAGTTCGGGAAGGAGAGAGAAAAAGGATGTGTGATGGAAGGACAGAAGAAAGGAAGAGTGAAGAAGATGTTATCTATTTTGTCTACCTCTGCAGTAAACTCCTCTGTATTTCATATCTACATCTCTTTGACATATTATTATTACCATTTTTATAATTGCCTCTATTGATTTCATAAGACTTTATTATCTCTGGTTACTTATCATTATTGATTACTAACAAACATAATCTCAACAATACTTCATACTAGTAAAGAGAGGACGACAGAGACACTTAAGAGGAAACAAAGACACAAACAGGGTAGTCGAACTTTCCCCCTTTAGTTATATTGA